TTTAATGACTTTATTAGATAAATTCTTAAAGTTGAGTAACCTTTTGAGATATTAACTCTAATTATAACTTACTAATTTACTATCAGTTATCAGTTAATACAGAAAGAAAAAATCCAAAACATAGAACCGATACCCCAATAAAATAAAAGTACCAATACCGTTATTAAAAGCAGTTAAACCAATAACTCATTACCTATAATTCATAAATCATGGTTCTACTTTGTGTTTTTCCATCGAAGTCCATGAAGCAAGAGAAATAAGATAGGGCCGGCCCATTCAGATGGAAGATCCAGGCCCGCAAAAGAAACCCAACAAGCAAATTATCCCTCATCGAATGCATAAAGCTTCTTTGTCTAGTTTATATCGCGGAATATTAACATGTATGCTTGTCCCTTCGGGGACATCCGATAAAATTGGAACGATACAGAGAAGATTAGCATGGCCCCTGCGCAAGGATGACACGCACAAATCGAGAAATGGTCCAAATTTTTTTTGTCCAATTTTGGTCTGAAATTTCTTCAAACATTTGACAATTGTTTTGCGCTATTTCAAACCTTTCTCCTAATCGGACAATAATCGATTAATTGGGAATTCATCTTCAGAGCTAAGTCCCAAAATACTCAAAGTTTAATTAAATATATTGGATGTTGATAAACTAATGCACAATGAAAAATATTAGATTTTGCATATTATTATTTTTGCATCACATAATTAATTATTATGTGTGAAATGTTGTTCGATATGATACTACAACAACAACATACTCAGTGTAATATTACAAGTACAGTTGAATTTGATAGAAATAAAAATAGAAATTTGTTCATCTTAATGAATTAGATGATATGACTTAGCTTGATAAGAGACTCAATCATATATATGTCTTGTTTGTTAAATAAGTCTTGGCTGATCTGATGACAGTTTGCAATGGCTCAAACATAGTGAATGCATGACTTGCAAGTTTCACATCTTCAACTTCATAATTTATTGTAAATTTTGTGATGCATGAATTTTCATCTTTCTCATTCACTTCAAATCTAATTCCATAAAAAGTATAGCCAAGATCAACATATCCACCTTCAATAACTTGAGATTGCTTGTATCTTTTTTCATTGTCTACTATGTTGAATCTCTCCTTGAAATAAGGTATTCCTGGTGTACCTATTTTAACAACAAACAAAAAACATAATTAATAATCATTTAATTAAGTTTCTTGATGGTGTTACTAATGTTTTTATAAATGTTAGTGTTTATTCTTTTCTTGAGTCGAGGGTCTTGTAAAAACAGACTATCTATGGGTAAGGTATGTGCATACTCTACCCTACACAGACTTCACTTGTGGAATTACACTGACTGTTGATTTTGTTGTTGTTCATTTAATGAAGTAAATGATTCCCCTTTGTTACCATACTACATCTCACACGCTGAGTTAATCACTAAAGTCTTATACAATTTTATGTTGGATGTCTTTTGATGGGGGGTCGTATAACCCGAAGCACTAGAATGATCCAACAATCACGAAAGGGAGTAGAAGTACCTACTACTATAACATACTACACTTGGCTCATATGAAACAAATCTTGTCTAGGAAGAAGAGCGATCTCATCTTGCTTGTTTCTAGCTCCAATATATAAACACGAGAGATTTGATTTTGTAGCTCATTACGAGTGTGATTTAAGCTATATGACCTTTATTCTACATAAGAGGAAAAAATAACACATGGGATCTTTAAATGAAAACACAAGATCTTCATTGAATCATATATTTTCTATTCAGATTGTAAGTGGACATAAGATATCATTCCCTCGATGAACATCGTATCTAAGATGATTAGATTGATTTTGCGTACCTTCAGGAAAAGTGATTTTGAGGACAGTTCCAGTACTACCATCACCTTCAATCACATCAACTTTATTAAGAAGAGTAGGCAACTCTTGCACAATGAATCTAGACAAATGTAATGTTCCATAGAGCTCCCATGCTACATTTGCAGGCACATTCACTTCTATCTCATCTGAAATTGTCCCCTTCATATCGTCCTAACGGTGGTGATTGATACTAACAGAGTACACACAGAATTTTTAGTAAACAATGATTCGTGAAAGAATGTTATTATGAACTTGTTTTATGTTATGTTTTAGTTTTTCTAGTGGTATTTATAGTAGTACAACATGTTAAATTTACAAAAATGTGTAAATGGCTACAATTGCCAAGTTTGAATTTGGACTCAAAAGACTTCCATGTTGGCTGCTGGAAAATATATATTGTGCCTTTAATTTTTTATTAATCATGTGCTATTAAGAATAGATTATATATACTTGGTATTCCTAAGTCAATGTTGCTCCAACTGATCTTTGACTAGGGTGATCTATACATTTACTAGATACAGGACCCCGTGCCAGCACGGACTCAATATATGTTAATTTTTTTGTTTTAATTTATGTGATATCATGAAACTTGAGAAGTTATTGAAATTTTTATATGATTTTTAAAATATTTTAAGTTCTTAATTATTGTAATTTATACTTGCTTTATTACTCTCTTTGTTTCAATTTACGTGGCATATATAGGATTTCAAAAATTAACCTTTTTATGTTTTTTAAATATATTAAATTGTTAATTTTTGTAATTTATAGTACCTTTTTAACATAATTTTCAAATAATATATGTTACTTCCCATGTCTCAATTTATGTGGCATTGATAGATTTTTTGGAGTCAAGTGATTTTTTTATATGTATTTTTTAAAATTGTTAATTATTGTGATTTATAGTACTTTTTACGTCAATTTCGAATAATATATGTTTATCATCTAACTCATTTTTATGTGGCACCAATAGAATGTCAAGAGTCAATTGAATTTTCTTTTACATAGCTTTTAAATATTTATGTTGTTAATTATTATTTATACAATTTATTTTAATTTATAATCAACAGAAAGAATAATATCAGAGAAATGAATTTAATACAAAGAAAATACTAAATAGTAATGAAAAATATTACTCTTACGACTTTACTACATATATGTAGTAGAATAGAATGATACAATTTAATTTTAAAATGTTGATTTTAATCTTAATAAAATTAAGAAAGTACAAAAACAGTTAAAAAGCTAAAGATAGCATGTTAGAAAATGTGAGAGACCAAAAGAATATTGGATGACTCAGCAATTCTAGAGGCAGTCAGATATTGGATCAATAATGTTGTTGTAGAAAGAGAGTCATTGGGTATAGTAAAAATTAAATGATAAGAAGGGAATGGAGGATTCCATGGCACAAAACATAGATGGATGCACAAATCACACATATATTAAGGGAAGCAAATGAAATAGCTAATGGCTAAACAAGTTTGAGTAGAAGAATTCTTAACTCAGATAAAGCACAAATTGCAACATGGAGGACAGAAAAGGTTAATTAACTCACAACAAACAAGCCCACGGAGTCAGATTTGAAGTCTCTAAGCTGAAATTGATGAGCAGCACAAGTGAATCATCATCTACAAGAAAATAAATTAATCAGAGAGAAATAGAGATGACCGAAAAAGAGAAAGTTGACCGGTTCCCTTAATGGACTTGCTCAAAATATTTAGTTTCTCTTTTTTAGTTTATGTAATTTTATTGGGACCAAAGAATTATTATTTAAATAAGGGAAAAGGATTAAATATGCCCCTAAACTATTCGAAAAAGTCTAGATATACTTCCGTTTAAAGTTTGGCTCACTCATGCCCTCGCCGTCCAACTTTTCGTCTAGATATACCCTTATGGGCGTTAAATGCCAAATGGAATTGTCACGTCATTTTTACATTACTACATGACATTTATATTAAAGGAAAAAGGGTCAAATATACCCCTAAACTATTCGAAAAGGTCTAGATATACCCTTTTCGAATAGTTTAGGGGCATATTTAACCCTTTTCCCTTTAAATAAAAAGGGGCACCTTGCTCCAGTAACTAATTAAAATATATATATATATATATATATTGGATGACTATTTAAAAAGTTGCATAAAGAGCACGTGTAGTAAACATCTAAGTAAGGACCACACTTTGTAAAAAAACAGATAAAAAAGAGAGTAAAAAAGCACATGGCGTGTAGTAATTAAGTATCAGCTGAGGTCCATAAGTCAGAGTAGTAGCACATTTTGAGAAAGGACGGATGAATAAATACATAAATATATTTTGGGTTTTTTGTCCAATATAATCATGATAGCAGTTGGTACAAGTCAATTATAGCGATTATGTTTTGTAATACCTAATTTACCCTTTGATCGGCAAGCTGCCATGTTGACGAAGAGCTGCTTGCCGTAGACTCTTATATATAGTAGTAGTAATAATAATTACAATGCATAAATCACGTAAAGTGATGTATCTCATCGATACATCGCGTAAAGTAATGTATCCAAGAATAGGAGTGTAGGAATTTTTGTAATTTTTCAAATTTTAGAAAATATGATAAAATAAGTTTTGTATTTAGGTCATTTTTTACCAAATGGCACAACATAACACCCTATAGACTAAATTAGCAATAAATAACTCACTTTTAATTTTTTTAGCAAGAAAAAGACTTTGTTTTATTTATTTGGCTTTGAATAGTTTTTTTTCTTTTTTTTTTAAATGTATTTTTGTTCTCCTTATTTATCTCAAACACACGTTCTAAAAAATTATTATTTTATTATCCCTATTTTATCTCTGTTTTTTTTTTATTTTGTCAACACTTTTAAAATAGAGTTCTTCTCTTTTTTGTCTCCTTTTTCTCTTTTCAGAATTCTTTTCATACGTAATTCTCTCCCTAAATTTCAATTTTTCTCCTTAATTCAATCTGTTTATGAAAATAAGATATAACAATATGTTTTTTCATGGATACTTCTAAAAATCATCTTTATATATAATCTTGTTCTTGTCAAATTTATTGTTGAATTTCATGATTTGTAGAACTGGAGTTTTTTCAATTTTGTTTTTGCGAAAATTTAGGTTATTCAACCTTCTTTTGTTTTCTTTCTAAAATCCTTTTCATATGTATATTGGCTTGCGTTACTATTTCTTTTAAATAGACGGTTAAATAAAGTTGAGTTTAAGAATTTAAAGAAATTGAAGAGCTAACTTCCTTAATTATAGGAGTTGAAAACAAGGAAGAAAAAATAATTCCACATTTCCTTAATTAATGTGGGTTGGTTGCACATGATAAAAAGAAAAAACTATAAAAAGTTGGTTTTATTTCTTTTAGGCTAATACGTGCTAATTTTGTTTTAGGCTATTAATTGCTAATTAATATTGGACTATATATTGCCAATTATATATAATAATAATTGTATGTCTGTGTCAATTCCTCGTAATTTTTCAAAAATATTTTTGTCACCTATAAAAATGGGTTATGACCATTATAACTCACAAACACAATATATTTTATCAATTCGTTAAAACTTTGTGAACGTTTTGTGTTTAAATTATTCCCCGCCTTACATAACATGAGAAAGAAGATAAAACTAGTCAAAATTATGCCATTTATACATAAATTAGTAAAAATTATGCTATTTTACGTAAATTGTCCATTTTTACGTAAAATAATAAATGGGGATAAAATTTAAACAACTAAAAAAATCTCCAATTTTAGCAAAATAGATGTCCCCATACAAATGCCCTGGCATACAAGGAAGTCACGTCAACCAATTAAAATATGAAGGCCAGCCAATTATGATTATGCATTTGTGGTTGAAATTTATCTTTATCAACTTATATGTCATCAAATATTAATAAGAGGCTAGAAGCAAATTCCTCTTCGTCGACATGTCTGTTTCATGTCGAGAGTTTTTAAAATTTTAAATTTTATATCGAGAGTATTTTTGGAATTTCAATGTCTACACTTTAAAGGTGTTTCTCCGATAATAATTTGGTTTCACATCAACAAAAAATGTTTTATCAAATAAATGAGACTCGATAACGGCATTAAACATTCGTCAAATAAGAAAATGTGTCCTTTTTTGGATTGACTAAAAAAAAATGTGTCACGTAAATTGAAACACAAAAATACGTAAGGCCACTTTTAAGTATGGTTTGTTGGACCCCACTTTGCATCTATATATATATATATATATGTGTGTGTGTGTGTGTGTGTGTGTGTCATAGCAACTACTATATACTTAATAGTGCTTGTTGACTAATAGTCACCAGAAAAAAAAATATGTTGGGGAAATTTACAGAGCAAGTACAAATAAATGCATCAGCAAGTGAAGTGTGGAATCTCTATGGCACTAATGAATTTCCAAAATTTGTTGTTGAAAAACTCCCACACATTGTTGAAAAAGTTGAGTTGATTGAAGGCAATGGAGGAGCTGGTACACTAGTGCAAGTTAGTAAGTTACTAATCCACTTCATACCTCATAAAAATTTATCAACGAATTTACATCAAATCAATAAATATAAGATACGTATCTGATATACACACAATTAGCACAATTATCTCTTCCTTTTTCCTCTTCTTTCATAGGTGACGTCGTCCATAGTGATTACTTGTAGTTGGTGTTTACACCCAATCAATTAATTTTGATTTAGCAATGGAGAATTTGAAATGAAAATTATACCATTTAACCATGATTAAGTGTTGAGGGTGTAAATGTCAAACGCTTTATATTTATTGATTTGATGTAATTATCTGGTGCGATTTACCTACACTAGTTAAACGGTATATTCCCTTAGTTTTTCTACTTACCACAACAAACACATTATAGTTTTTTACCCTCTAATTATAATTCTTCTTATTACACGATAATATTCTATTTCATTTGTCATTATTTTCTTATCGGTCCTCGTAAAAAAGAAGTGACATAGTTCAATTTATTTTCTTAATGAGAAGTCTTTATAGCCACAACACAGATACTACGACATGTTAAAGAATACAAGTTTCAAAATTTTTGTATCCACACCAATGTTATGATATATTTAACACCATAACTTTTAAAAGTCTTTTTTTCTTTATCAAAATTTATGTCAAGTCTAACTACGACTGATTATGATAACTTGGATTAGCAATAACTTTATTTTTTGGACAAAATGTATTAGGTTTACCTGGAAATCCTCCATATAAAGAGAAGTTTGTGTTATTGGATGATGTGAAAAGAGTGAAGGAAGTAGAGATTGTTGAAGGTGGATATCTTGATCTTGGATTCACTTTCTATGGAATCAAATTTGAAGTCATTGAGAAGGATGAAAATTCATCTTTCATCAAACTTACAATTGATTTTGAGACTAAAGATGTTGAAAATATTCATCTTACTATTCCCAACCTCCAAGCTTTTCTTGCCATCATGAAAGCTTCTGCTGAGTATCTTGAGAAATAATCTTATTATTATTATTATTGGATTTATTTCATAGTTTTTGTTGTTTTCCATTTTACTAATTTAATTCTTGTTATTTCTCTTTCTTGTAATGTATTGTATTATGATGGACTTACTATTGGATGTTATTATTTTTGGTCATGAATAAAGTAAGATAAGGTCATTGTTTATTGCTTGTATAATCTTTGATTGGAATGTCAAATAGGTGTGTTGGATTTGAATTTGGGCATCAATATAATTTGTGTTAATATCCGACTAATAAAATGAAATAGAAATTTATAAGATCAAAGTTAGACATGACCTTGAAAAGATCGACTTTAATCTTAAAGAGGTTTGGGATTCCATTTGGACTGGGCGCAAAATTTGAAAAGATCGACTTTAATCTTAAAGAAGGAACCGGATTTATTGCTTAAGCGGCAATTGTCCTAACCGTTGGGCTACATACTCCTTATTGTGTGAAATATTGTTTTATAGCTCTATCATTGTTTGTTATGGACTTGTCCTTTATACATGTGTAGTTTCACTTGCACGTACCTCGGCTTATTCTATCGAGCATCAACTATCTCCAATCAACACAAGTATCGGGTTAATTTGTTTATCAAGCTTGAGCGGATGAGAAGGAATCACGTAATATTTCTTTGCTATCGTTGGGTTCTAAATCTAAGACCTTATGATTTTCAATTCATCACTGATCACTAAGTCAGTGGCAAAGTGTTCAAAATCTATTATATATGCATTGAAGAGTAATTTTTAACCTATACAATTAGCATATATCTGTAACTTCACTACGTAATGTTTCCATGAAAGGTATTCAATTGTTCACCTTTCATTATACTAATCTCAAAGCACAATATTAAATATATTTCTAATTTTCTATGTATTAACAAATTTGGGCTTCATTTAGATAGGACTAAAACAAGAAATAAAAGGAGTCCAGGCCCGTTGTTTGAATATACCCAACGAGCAAGCTAATTTCCTACATCTCACAATATTCTTTATCCTAACTTTTTATAGCAACTCTTCTCGTATCCTACTTTCTTACAGGTTTATGATTCAAATTGTTGATATATGATATTATATAATGACGAAGAACGATACAATTTATCCAAATATTATATTCATTAAACAATACAATACCATACAATACAATATGTATACACTTTCCATTCTGAATGAAGGCCAGTTGTGCCTGGACTTAACCATAATGGGCCGGCCCACTTAACCAATAGTTGTGTCATCTCAATTATTAATTAATGAAATAATCTAAGAAATAAGAAATGCTAAAAGCTAAACATGTTTTAATAATAATTAGCTTCTTTAATTACTTGAAAATAAAAATATATGTAAAGCACCCAAATACTTTTTAGGCTAGTTTTGTTCTCTTGTTCATCGGTTCAATGTACTCGTGAGATGTTAAGTTTTCTAATTTATTGTAATTGTTTTTCTTTTCGAGTTCCCGAATTGAAAAGAAAAAAATAGTAAACATAGATGTAATGTAGTCAGCTTGAAAATTCTCATGAAATTTATTAAATTATCGGGATTGAATAAAATTTGATCAACACGATCCTAAAGCAAATTCACTCTTCATAAGTAATCAATACTTTATTTATCATGTTTCAAACAACATAAACATTTGCTTGAATGGACAAAAATTTATAGTTTTGTGATTTTTAAAATTTGTAAAATAAATAAATGATGCTATAATTATTTGGATGAATAATTATTTATTGCTATGTTGTTTGAGATCTTCAAGAACAATTAGAAAAAAATAATAATTAATCTAATCTTATATTTCTAAAATAACAAACAACTTGAAATAACTATTTTCAAAAATCATGACTAATAATTCAAGATAGAGAAAGTGTTACGATCAACTAAATTGGTGTAGTGAATGATATCTCATCATATATGATTTCTCCCTCTTTTCCAATCGGGGCACAACTTATACATTTTCTATTTAATTTATAAGTTATTGCATAGGAGCGGGTTTAACGTGAATACCAATACAATATGTACACAATAATTGTATAATTATACCTAACCTAAAGTTAATTCTCCAATCGGGGCACAACTTATACATTTTCTATTTAATTTGTAAGCTATTGCATAGGAGCTGGTTTAACGTGAATATCAATATAATATGTACACAATAATTGTATAATTATACCTAACCTAAAGTTAATTCTCCAAAAAGTATATAACTCCATTTTTACTCTCTCTTTCTTTCTTTGTGTCTCATTTCCTTCACGGGTACTCACGAACATGGCACCCCCATCTATCTCCGCTTTCATCGCCTTTCTTTAATCAAGATTAAATCTTTTTAATTAAATTTTTTTACCCAAATCGATCCCATTTGACCCAGAAGACAAAAAATCAGAAAAAACCCTAGTTGCATTTTTTTTTTTTGTATCAAGAACTGTGTATTTTGATATACCCTTTATTGAATCTGAATCGATCCAAAAACCCAAAGTGTTTTTTGAGTTAATTACATGTCTTAGATGAGGTTTACTCGAAGATTTACGAGGATTTTTATCATCCTCTGTTTGATTGCTGTTTTTGTTACAACTCCAATCTTGTTGTTTTCTTCACATAGGTTGATTCATCTTGGTTCTGATGGTAATGGTTTTGTTTATATGTGTTTTCAAGTTGTTTGGGTTTTTGGGGTTCTTTTTGTTTTAGCTAATTTGATTGGATTTTGTTCACATTTGGGTTGTTGCAGCATCGAAGGAGTTTGTTGGAGATTTATCAATTCTGGTAAGATTTCTACTGTTACTGTTTATTGCACTTTGATTGTTGTATTATTTTGTGGTAGTGGGTGTTCCTTTTTCAGTATGTGTTGTCATGCTTTCTTTAGTTTCGAACTGCTTTTCAATGCTTTTACTTGAGATGAGATGTAGGGGTAAGGTTTGCTTATACAATACTCTGCCCAGACCCCACTTGTGGGATTATACTGTGTGTGTCGTTGTTGTTGTAAGATTTCTTTTCCTTTATTCAGTTTTTGTTGTGGGTATTGCTTGTTTTGGTGTATGTTGTTGAGAGGAAGTAGATAAAGCAGCATAGATTATTTTGAAGATTTGATTTTACTATTGTACAATGTGTTTGCTAGTAATCAGTAAGAGCTTTTTGAGGGGAAGTAGATAAAGCAACATAGATTATTTTGAACATTTGATTTTACTATTGTACAATGCGTTTGCTAGTAATCAGTAAGAGCTTTTTTTTTAATAGCTGAAGTTGTTTTTTTGGTACCCTTGTTGTTTTCCTATTTTCGACCTGGTGTAAAAGATAAAGCTGTTAATGGTCCCCATACTTCCATAAGTTCCATTTACCCTGTTGCTTTGTTTTGGTATATGTTGCTGAGGGGAAGTTGATAAAGAAGCATATATTGTTTTGAACATTTGATTTTACTTATTAAATTGTGTTTTCTAGTAATTCATAAGAGCTTCTTTTTTATAGCTGAAGTTAGTTTTTTGGTACCCTCGTTGTTTGCATATTTTGGACTTGGTGTTAAAGATCAAGCTGTTAATGGTCCCCATACTTCCATTAGCCTGTCCCTTTGTAAAGGCAAGGATGCAGAGTTTTCTGTGAGAAGAATTATCTACTTATTGCTTGTGTCAGTTTTTGACTGGACCCCGAGTTTTTTGATGTTAGTTAACTCATACAGAGTATATTATTTTAGTAGTGGTAATCAAATAAAAATGTAGAAGTAATAGCCGTTAACAAGCTAGTTTGATAGAAAAGATCATATCAAAGTTAAAAATCTGAATGCTTTGGAAGCTCTATAAAGATGGAAAGAGTGTCATGAATTGAAACAAATGGAGTCTATTGTATGGGATCTGATTGAGATTATTCTTATTTGGGTTTTGATTGGAATTGATGGATTATATTGTTATGATATGATCTGACTGATATTTCTATTTCTCCATTTCAGAAGCACAGGATAGAGGTTCAGGCGCTTAATGCAGTTCAACAGGTGATATAAACTCTATATAAGTTCTTAAAACTGTGGACATCCACATGAAATGAACTTATGTTTGCAAACCTTTTTCTGCTGTTTGGTTTAGGAAGAAGTTGAAAACCTCAAAGAACCAATCTTGGATGTCTACCGAGATGGAAACCAAATTTCTGCAGTCAGTTTGTTTACCATTGATAAGAATGATAGTCTTGGTCAACCTAAGAATGTCAGTTTGGCGGGAAATAATGGTAATTTGATTATTCAGATTTTCTTTACACCCCCACCCCCACCCTCACCCTGGGCATTTCTTTTCATTCTACAACTAGAAATTAATTGTACACATTCCTACCTAATTTCAGTAACCACACATGATACGAAGAAAGAAAGTCAACAAAGTTTACCAGAGGAAACACTGGCCACACGAGAAAAGGCATTGGTATGTATGGAAGTCCAACGGACGCTACATCAAAGATCTCATTCATTTAGTGTGAAATTTTCTTCACCATTCCTTTTATTTATTTATTTTATTTCATAAATAGATAAATCTTTTAATTAGTACAGTAAAAATCATAGAGGTGCTGTTGGTGGAATCATTTGCAAGTAGAGCGCAATGGTTACAAATCATTCATATAGTTGATCCTGAAATTTGGTGTAGTGGAACGGTTGATTAAATTTGAAAGCCACAAATATTGTTTGTCCAGAACTTGAGACTAATAGATGTACTTTTATTATTGTTTGGCAAAAATAGAATTGATGGTGGTTATATAAAATATCACGTGTTGTTTGCAGCTTTAGAGTAGTTGCATATGCATACAGCTGGATTCCTTTGTTTGGTGGTGTTTGAATTTTGAAGGTGTTGCTTTAACGTGGTGATTGTGATAATGTGTAGTAATAAACTATGTCTTCATGCTTTGGAACCTTACCAAGAAATGGTTTTCTTAGATTAAGTTAAATTAGCAAATTTAAATTTTGCATGTTCATGACGGTAGGGAAGCTGTCGATTCGATTATTCAGATGAATTTTTTTATTCTTTTTCTTTTTTTCCTAAATCAAAAGAAGGTTTGACTGAACGTTTTTAAGAAGGGAGTTTTCATGTGCCATGCTCATTTATGATTTTCACTTTCCAAGATTCAGCTGTTGTGTAAAATAAATTGTGATAAAGTTAAATATTAATTGTTGTATTGAGGGTTTAAAGTAATATTGGTTTCTCTTTCCACTCGCTGTGAATGGTCGAATACTACTGGTCAACTCCTGGAATATTTTTTATGTATTTTGTTCGTGTTAACTGCAAGTAGCTCTGCATGTTATCACCTGATTTCAGTTGGTTGTATTGCAGGAAAAACCCAGGCCAAAAGAGGTTCAACATAGTCAGAATGTACAGTCTCATCCACGGAGGGCATTAGATGAGAGGGTGAAGGAGATTAAAGATCAGCTGATAAGGGCCAAAGCATTCTTGAATTTTGCACCGGCGGGTAGTAACTCTAATTTTGTGAAAGAGATAAAGCTACGAATTAAAGACTTGGAACGAGCTGCTGGTGAAGTTTCAAAAGATTCTGATTTGTCAAGGAGGTAAGATGATATTTCTTTCATCACTTTGACATCATCTCTTATTTGGACACAAGCTCAAACCTGGACACATCATGGAACCTGGCTGATTTGATATATGTTGGTTGCTCCACCGTAGCATAAAATCTGCTTGGCTTGAGTAATGGCTCTTTTTAGCCATTTTCTGTACCTTTTTTTTTTTTACAAGTGTGAGTTATGTTTGTACTTATTGTGTCTGAAAGAATATCCAAGAGAAGGTCAAAATTGTCAAATGAAATCGACAAATAACTTGGTGCTAAAGTTAATTATGTACACAAAGAATGTCTTTAACCTGTTATTGGTCCATGAGTAGTTGAGGAAAAATTGGTTGGTCTGGTAACTAAGTGTTGAATGTTGGCCAGCGAATATGTTTTTTCTCAGTCTTGAATTAAGTACTTAGTGTATTTATTCTCTTTATGACTTTTTCCTGTTTTTTTAGTTCCAGACCCTACATAGTGGGATTTCACTGGGTTTGTTGTTGTCCTGTTTTTTAGTTTACTTTTTGGGCACAGGTATTAATCTGTGAATGGATGTTTGGATGTATTGAGATAAAAATGGGTTCAGAAAGTGACAATAAGGCTAACTTTGTAAAAGAGAAGTCGTCCGACTTTTTATATGCTCAAATATGGGAAAAGTATTGAAGAGTGTAGAGGAAAGCTTTTACTTTTGGAAAGTTGATAGAATCTTTAAAATAGGGAAGTATACTATTTTGATTGGAAACTAGGGAGCAGTTAAATGATGTATGTATGATCTAAGAACAGTTATCATTCTAGGGCGATACAGAAGATGAAGGCTATGAGTGCAACCCTGTCGAAAGCCAGTAGATTGTTCCCTGATTGCTCGGCAATGGTGAAAAAACTTCGTGCGATGACGTATAATGCTGAGGAACAACTTCGAACGCAAAAGAATCAAGCTTCCTTCCTTGAAAATCTTGCCGGAAGAACTACTCCGAAAGGCCTTCATTGCCTCTCCATGCGGTTAACCACTGAATACTTTGCCCTACAATCCGAGGAGCAGAAACTACCTAACCAACATAAATTTCAGAATCCAGATCTCCACCACTTTGCTGTTTTCTCTGACAATGTTTTGGCATGTTCTGCAGTTGTCAACTCAACTGTATCAACTGCTAGGGTGAGCATCTCCTTAATTTTCTTATTCTTGGCTTTTATTTTTATTTTTTTCAATTTCTTACTACTTCCTCTCTTTCAATTTATGTGTATTACTTTACTTTTTAGTCTATTTTAAAAAGAAAGCAAGTTTTTATATTTAGTTCTCCTCTTTAGTTCCAATGTCTCACATGGCATGTTTAAAATCACAAGATTCAAAAGACATTTTTGGTGCATTACACACATCTTTAATTTAAGACCACATCTTTAGTTTAAGACCACAAGATTCAAAAATCTCTTTATTTTCTTGATCTCCGAGCCAGTCATACCATTTTAAGAAAATGAACAGAAGGGAGTATATTTTTTATTCACGTTCTATTTTTTCCTTTTATGTTCTTTTCTCATCGTTACTTAATCTGCTGTGATCTTAAGATGATTAAGAATAGAACATAGGTATTTGGAGTATATGTCATGTTGCACATGGTCTTTAGAGGAATTTTTTTATTTAGTATCTATGGTAACTGATGCTTACCTGTAAGCAGCCTTGGCTTCAGCGCGGAACAGAGTAATTCCAATTGTGCATATAAGTCCACTATCGACTTATGAGAACACATAATGCTATTATTTGTTGGTGTCCTCACTTCTGCAAATAGAATTCCAAGATGAACTATGATTGCAGTAACATTATCATTTGTAACTTATCATGCAACTGTCATGTATGGAAGGGCTAAACTCTTATGATTTTATAACAGTAGCTGCAAGGAGTAACTATTGATCACTATATATATTTTGAAGACAAATTAAATAATCATGGTTATGCACAAATTTATACTATTGATTACTATAGATTTTACAACAACAACATTCCGAGTGTGATCCCATAGGGTGGGTTCTGGGGAGGGTAGAGTGTACGCAAACCTTACCCTTACCTCGTAGAGATAGAAAATCTTTTTCTGACAGATCCCTGGCTCGAGCAAAGCATTTGGAAAAAGGGAATACGGAAATGATTACTATACATTTTGAAGACATAAATTAAATAATGATGGTTATGCACAAATTTATTCAAGTGCTTATGTATTTGGCAGGCTCCAGAGAAGATTGTGTTTCATATTGTGACGGATTCTCTTAACCAACCAGCGATGACAATGTGGTTCTTGTCGAATCCTCCTGGCAAAGCAACAATCCAGATCCAGAGCATAGACATGTTTGATTGGTTACCCAACAAGGATACTCTGCAGAAGCAAGAGTCTCTTGATCCAAGATACACTTCTCAACTGAATCACCTGCGCTTCTACCTGCCTGATATCTTTCCTTCTCTCAACAAGATAGTGCTCCTTGATCATGACGTGGTTGTGAAAAGGGATCTAAGCGGACTTTTGCGCATCAACATGAAGGGTAAAGTGAATGGTGCGGTGGAGACTTGTCTTGAAGGTGAGCCGTCATTCCGGCGAATGGACATGCTCATCAATTTCACTGACCCCATGGTGGCAACGAAATTTGACGTGAAATCATGCACATGGGCATTTGGGATGAATTTGTTTGATCTGCAGGAGTGGAGGAAACGAAACTTGACTGGGCTCTATCACAAGTACTTGGAGCTGGTATGCATCTATATCCTGTTGTTTGTTAATTACTTATGGAATTGACCAGCTACTAATCATATTCTTAGCTTCTCTATAATAATGTGTATATACAGTTTTGACTTATGGCTGTTTTATTGAACATTGTTCTCCTTCTATTCGTCACAGCCTCATTTTTAGTCCATGCATTGTGCAGGGAAGTAATAGACCATTAATGAAAGCTGGTACTTTGCCCATTGGTTGGATGACCTTTTACAAACATACACGTGCTATAGATCGGAGATGGCATGCCTTGGGGTTGGGGTACGACTCTGGTGTCAAACTGAATGAAATCGAGCAAGCAGCTGTGATTCATTATGACGGAGTTATGAAACCATGGTTAGAGATTGGACTCCAGAAGTTCAAGCCCTACTGGAAGAAACACGTTAGGTATGAACATCCTTTTGTGCAACAATGCAATATTCATGACTAGGAATTTTATCCTTTAGCAATAGGCCGAGTTCCACTTCACCACAATCACGTAGTGTAGGAACCCCTCACGTTCACCTTATTCTTTCACACATTGATCCCGCAATTTTTAACTTGTAAAGTCCAACTTTTACTCCCGTCCTGCCCACGTTTATTTCCTGCTCAGCGGTCATAGAAATTTATCCCACAATAGCAATAACTTGGGACCTGATATTGGCATGTCCCTGAGATTCCTGCAATGCTTGGACTTGCATGTATATTGATCTTGTAGAATGCTAAAAATGTTTCTTATGATTTACCAGTTGTAGATGAGATAAGAAATATATTTCTCTATGACATTCTTCTTTCTTGTAGAATGTATATTGTTGGAGAGGGAGGGATTGCTTTGGAAAAAACTTATAAGGTGCACCTTATTTTTTTTTTCAATCATCCGGTTCGGATACTCACAGACACGACTAATCTAGATTCACATTGTAGAAATCCAATCATGGCTAGTGTTTTAACGTTCTCTACCAACGACTAAGACCTCTAGTTAAGTGTCTAGGATAACAAATTTTATTCATAGCATTAAATTTTCAAAGTCTAAAATGTAAATCGATTATTATTACTATGAATATGGCAAGGATATTTTAAGACAAAATTTCCTAGAATGGCTCTCTGGATTCTGTATGTTGGGTAATCAACTAATCATCATTAGTGGATGTGATTATTGATTTGTAAAACTTTAACATGATTTTAAAGCAGACTCAATCATCAACATCAAATTTTAGTTTCCTCCTAATATCGGAATAAGACTTTTGTCGACTTTGAGCCGTTTTCAACCTTTCAGTCGGAAACGACTAGGAAATGACACTCTGGACCCAACGGAATCGACAAAACAGTCATTTGAGGTGGTTTCGTCAAAATGCTGACCAAAGTCAACACTTTAACAAAAAAATACAACAAAACGCCAAGAAGCAAAAAACTGACCCTCGACACCTTCGGGAATCAAATCAAAGGTTGTTCTAGACCAAAATTGACATTTTGGAGCTAGTCGCATTGACAAAATTTGATTTGAGCACGTTTACCAAGAAAGTTGACCCAAGTCAAATTTTTGACTAAGCTCAAAGGCTAAAACACCTAATCACACCGACTCTAAACGGAAGCCCGAAAACCTGAACTAATCATCACACTAGATTAAAAAGACTCTTTTAGAGCTGATGGAACTGGCGGAATTTCGATCTGACGTCAGAATCTCCGAATGTTGACTACAGTCAACTCTTTCAAGCATTAAGCTTCCAAAACTCAAAACTCGTGCCAAACTCAACGAAATTTTACCTAGTATAAAAACCATGATATTTCCAGAGAAATCCTAAGTTTCTTTCCGAACAATTTCCCACTCTTTCTGTGAGGCAAAACCTCACCACACTACACTACACTATACTTTGACACAAGAGAAGAGGACCAGGCATTTTGTATCTTCAGGATAGGAGTTGGCGGTCTTCTTCAAGAGAACTTCAATCTAATACTCATTATGGATCAACTCATGTTTCCACTCTATTTTCATTACGAGGATGTATCACGTCAGGATCCGTTGTTCAAACCGAATCACGCCAACGTTATGGAAGTTTTTGAATTGTGTAAAATAATAGTAGTACCAAAAACAACACCTTCTATAATCATGGTTATACTTTAATAAGTTACATTCTATATATTTCACTTTTTCTTGCCTCTCTCCTCTCTTCCAATTTTGCACACCTCCTTGCTCCTTCTCTCCCTCTCTTGTTGCACTCCACTCTCTCTTCCTCTCTTGCTCGCCTCTATTTGTATAATATATTTCACTATGATACTCCACATAGTAGATCCCAAATAGTACGTTGAAACAACCATTAGAGAGTTACAATTGATACAAGTATCTTCTTCTCTATTTTTCTATGTATTCATTCCCTCTATTTGGCATAATACAGTAGAATAAATAATATGTCTCTACTATCATCTTGTATGTATTAAATACAACTTATATCTGTTTGGGATGTATCGAATACAACCTATATTTTTGTATAGCGAATGAATACAACTGTATTAGCATGTATGTATCTAATACAATTATATCAACATTCATATATCATTATGTATTCGTTGATACAACTTAAATTCATCGAATATAATTTGTATCTAGCATCTCTCCTCCCTGTCTCCCAATCTTGCTAGCCTCTTTCCTTATGCTATAAATGGTAAATACCCAAACTATAGCTATAGATTTCTAAAAACCCTTAACATTAGTCATTTCTGAATTTTTTGTTTAACAGACTCAAATTAAGTACCAAGATAGTTATAATTAAGATTAAGATGCATTTCACCTTCTAAACATTTGAAATGGAAGATACTAAATTTCAAAGGGTTTGATTGATGGTATGATCACATCATCTTCTGGAATTGTGGTCAAAATTTCTTTGCTACTTGTTGCTCCTTTATTCTTGATCTTCATGCTTTTCTTAGCAATGACTTTTGATTTGTCTTCTTTCATGGTCTTTCTTTTTTGTGCTGCAAGAAGATTGAACAATCATATATAGTGACAGATCTAGGATTTAAATATTAAAGAATCAAATTTGAAATTTTCTCACGACCTATTTAATTTACTTGATTCAAACTATACTTATTTATTAGTGGATTTCTAACACATATATAAGGTATGAGTCAAGATTATTGTGTTTGGATGAATTTACATACATCTTTAACTACATATGCTCCTAATCTTCAACATTATCATATAATTTATTTTTATTTTTTAAAAAGAAGAAGAAAAGAAAGGAGTAATAGATGACCTTGAGTTTTGCCAAATCTTATAATTTCAAGGGCACGTTGCAAAGCTGGATTTTTTGCTGCTGATGTTATAGCTTCATTTATGCTCATGGGGCTTACAGTTCTACTAATTGATACTTCTGCCCTCTCCCCTTCCTCCATTACTTTTTTGTCCTTGATACTACTAGTGTTTTGCACTTGTAGCCTTGGCTTCTTTGATGAATTTGCTAATGAGGGCTTTGTAGAAGCCATTGATGTTGATTGATCAACCTATATAAAAGAGAGAGAAAAATATCCTTTTACTTGCTATATATACCGACTAGTAAATATATATATATGGATTTTTAAAATGTATATACATCTATCTGTGACTTTTTAGGGTGAAATGTTTATCTAATTGAGGAGTGTTCAATTGATCAATCGATTCTAAGCTAGAGACAACATTTGACCTATAAATACCTTATGATTTTTTGGTGATGATATTGAACTGATCTTTGATCTATATACATTCTATAATTTTCAGGCAAAGACTGTTCAATTAATAGGTCACACTTGAGCCTAGAAACGGTATTTAAATAATATACATCCTATGACTAAAAATAAAGAGTACTCGATCGATAAGTCTTGAGTATAACAACAGTCTTTGATCTATATGCACCGTGTGATTTTCAAGCAAAAACATTTGATCGTTCAATCTTGAGCATAGTAATATGTATTCCATGGTTTCAGTGCAAAAAATGCTAAACTGATTAATTGATTTTAAATTGATTGATTACTTTTTATGTGACTCAATCAGTATTTTTAGTGTATTAAATTAACAAAGAAGTTGAAGAGAGAAAGAAGCAATCAACTTACCTCCATTGAAGAAAAGAAAAGAAAGAGCAGCAAACTGGTAAATTGTGAAGGGAAGAAAGAGATTAAATAGTTACAATGAAGAAAATGATTAATTACTAATTAATTACATGTCACTAATTCAGTCAACTCCCATTAAGAGAGATTGATTGTTGTAATATAGGGTGGTTAGATGCGCCATAATAAATGAGATAAAAAATTTGTCATGATTTAACATATTAAAAATAAAATGTGACAAAAAGTAAAGAAAAATAACAATTTAAGTAAAAGAACTTTACTTCACATTAAATGCAAGTTTCCTCAAAAGATGATCATAATTTGACCAAACAAAACACACACAAAAAATAATAAAAATTTAAGCATGATAGGATTGACATGTAAAAAAACTTATGAAGCTTGACTATTTCATATTTGCATAATAGGAATTAAGTTCATGAGGAAAATTTTCTTGCTGGCTCTTTATCAATTTCTTTGTTAGTTTGATATACTAAAATTACTGACGAAGTCACATAAATACATAGTAATCAATCAGTTCAAAATTAATTAATCAATTTAGCATCTTTTGCCCAGAAAATCATAGAATACATATAGGTGAAAGATTGTCACTAGGCTCAAACTGATCTATTAAATATTTTTTGCTTGAAAATCACACAATGCATATAGGTCAAAGATCTTTATTATGCTCAAGGTTAATCGACCGAATACTCTTTATTTTAGGCTCAGGTTTGACCTATTAATTGAACAACTTTTGCCTGAAAATTATAAAATGTATATAAATCAATGATCAACTCAATATCATCATCGATAAATCATAAGGTATTTACAAGTTAAATGTTGCCTCTGGCTCAGAATTAATCGATCAATCGAATACCCTTCAATCAGTTAAACATCCCTCCCTCGAAAGTCATAGATGGATATATATATAACATATTTTATATTCTAGTTCGTATATATATAACAAGCAAAAGAGTATTTGTCTCTCTCTTTTATTTAGGTTGATCAATCAACTCTAATGGCTTCTACAAAACCCTCATTAGCAAAATCATCAAAAAAAGAGTCAAGGCTACAAGTGCAAAACACCAGTAATATCAATGACAAAAAGTAATGAAGGAGGGGAAGGGTGTAGAAGTACCAATTAGTAGAACTGTAAGTCCCATGAGAATAAATAAAGCTATAGCATCAACAACAAAAAATTCAGCTTTGTAACTTTCCCTTGAAATTATAAGATTTGGTGCAACTCCAGGTCATTTATTACTCCCTTCGTTTCTTTCTTCCTTTTTAATGAAATTGGCTCAACGCCTTTTTACTAACAGAAAGTTGTTTGCCCTAATCAAATAAGTTCTCGAATTTCTACCAAAGATCATGATAGACACAAATTTTAAAAAGAACATCTAATACAAATTCTCTAGGAATGTAAAAGATTTAAATTCAAGCACAAAGAATCAAACTAGACAATGTACAAAAGCTCTAATGATAAATCTTGATAGAAACAAATTATTTTCACGTTTGCTATGATCTTCTTTCTATTTGACGGTGTTTTCAACATTATTAAAAGGGAAAAAGGACAAATATATCTCCGAACTATCGTAAATGGCATGCAGATACCCTCCGTCATACTTTTGGGACATTGATGCCCCTACCGTCCAAAAACTAGAGCATATATGCCCTTCACTCTAACGGAAGACTAATTAGGGACACCAGGC